AATGTGGAAATTGAGCAAGTTGAGGTGACTAAACTGCTTGGATTGTAAACTGTCATGGTCAAAACATGTTGATACAACAGTAGCGAAGATGGGGAGAAGTCTTTCCATACTAAAGCGCTGCTCTGCCTTCTTAATAACACAATCAACAAGGCAGGGCCTACAGGCTCTAGTTTTGTCGCACCTGGACTACTGTTCAGTCGTGTGGTCAGGTGCCACAAAGAAGGACCTCGGAAAATAACAATTGGCTCAGAGCAGGGCAGGGCAGCACGGCTGGCCCTTAAATGTACATGGAGAGCTAACATTAATAATATGCATGTAAATCTCTCATGGCTCAAAGTGTTGACATGCTGAATGCACCGAGGTGTCTGTTTTTAAACTAGTAGCACACAGCTCAGACACCCATGCATACCCCACAAGACATGCTACCAAAGGTCTCTTCACAAGTCAAGAACAGACTATGGGAGGTGCACAGTACTACATAGAGCTACATGGAACTCTATTCCACATCAGGTAACCGATGCAAGCAGTTGAATCAGATATATATATTTTTTAAACAGATAAAAATACACCTTATGGAACAGCAGGGACTGTGAAGAGACACAGACACACATAAGACACGCACTCTACACACACGTACACATGGATGTTGTATTGTAAATATGTGATAGTGGAGTAGTGGCCTGAGGGAACACACTAAATGTATTGGGTAAAGTGTTTATGAAATGTACTGTTTTAAGTGTGTGTGTGTGTGTGTGTGTGTGTGTGTGTATATATAACTGTCTTAATGTTGCTGGACACCAGGAAGAGTAGCTGCTGCCTTGGCAGCAGCTAATGGGGATCCTTAATAAATACAAATATCCTCATTATTCCACTTGTAAACAAAGTGTGGCATAAATTCTAGAATGATCTTGCTGATTTTAAACCAGTCTGTTGGTTTGTATTCTGTGTTAAAATGCTACCTCCACAGTCTACTTGTTCCATGCTGTACCAACTGGCCTCACTATAGAAAGGACCACTGTAATGTGTAAAAAGCTAGGAAGGAAGTGAGCAAAACCAAAACTTGCATTTCACTGCTTCAGCACAAAGGTTTATTCAGGTTATAAAGTTGAGCCAGCTTTCTGCCCCTACCACCACCTTCAACACAAAATCCCAGGCAGCCAGCTTAGCTGTCAAATACTGTAATACCGTCTCAAATTTTTTTGGGGTGATATGATATTTTGGCCATATCACCCAGCCCTAGTTGTATTTGATGTTTAGCGGTACCAGGCTAGCTATACATCACCATTGGTAAGAATTTCTCAACAAATCTACAAGACCATAGTTGGCCTGTGTGCAGTGGTGAATGGGACGTTTCTTGTTGTTTTTGTGTTACGTTCAGGTCCTGGTTGCTGAATTCTATTGTCAAAGATTTAGCCTGTCACTGAATAGGCTATGGGACATGGCCTCACAGAGACTGCCCGTCCGTAGTGTGGCATCTATTCTCACTGCCTAAATGAGAAACCATCCTGGAATGGCAGAAACTTTAGGAACTTCACTGTGGTTAGGCTAGTTTGTATGTATCAGTGCCTAGGCCTATATGTGTGCGAGAACCACTTGTTTTCCCCTGAATCTCATTGTAGTGATGTGATCCTAAATGGGTCAGACACAGCCTGTCCCACCCATGGATAGGAAGAGGAGGGGGAACCACCATTTTGATACTGTACCACATGTCCTCATCTTCCATTGTCAAATGTACTTTGTACATATGTCAGAATAATGTAGGGTCTAAGCATTGATGTATGGGGGGAGTGTGCACGTACATGCTTTTTCCTCTCCAAAAATGTTTTTCTACAGTGAAGAATAAAACAAAAAGTTGACCTTCTACTGCAGTGAAATAATACCCTGCTTGAACAGATAGGCGAGGTGACGTCTAGTATGTTATCATATTTCAATAGATTGGGTTTAGGGCTATTATTCTGTTCACACGGACAAGGTGTGCTTGTACAAGCATTCTTCAATCTGCAGGAAATGCAGGCCCATAAGGCTCTAGTTAAAAGGAGTGCACTATATAAGGAATAGAGTGCCAATTGGGACGCAACCCTTGCTAGGCAGAGGAAGCCATTTTGTCATGTTTCTCTCTGCCACTCTCTCAGAAGGGGACTTTCACATCTTGTTTTCTGCTATTATTCTCAACTCAGGGTGAAGTCCTGCATCCTGCCACCCTCCCCTATCCCACTCTGAGCTGCATGGGGCTGGGGAGAGGATGTGTTTTGTGTCCTTAGTTGTCTCCTTATAGGTTTAGTTTGCCTAGGATGAAGGATCCCCTCCAACGTCCTTAAAGAGCACACACCCACTCACTCAAAACATTCCGTTTTGTTGAATAATTTTTTCATACAAACACATTGTGATTAGCTTTGTGAATATAGCCTACTTAATGTATACATTGATTTAGTTTCAAGAGGAAAGTTATTCTGATTACATGATTGTTGACTGCTTTTCAGCTGGCCAAGTCCACAGTGGTAATTTACTCGCCTTCTGGACAAGGACTAATGAAATTGTGCATTCAATGGAGAAGATGATGCTATAAAGAGCATTTCATTCAGGCCTCAAGTCACAGTGCTATTTTGTGATAGTTGCCCGCATGTGGCTGGTCATTGGTTCAATTGAGTTGGGCTATAATTAGGTAATGTGGAAGATGTGGTCCTTGTCCTTAGGTACATTTGTAAAGAGCAATATATATTTCCTGTTCACCTTGTCCTTTCCAGCACGGTTCCAGGCGGCAGCTATAGTTGATGCATTACCAAGCCAGTACAGCTCAGCTTTGTCTGGCTTGGCTCGGATGTTTACCCCAGACAACCAGGGCAGCAGACAGCTTAAATGACTATAAGCTTAAATGGGATTAAATCAATGTTCAGTCGGTCAAGGAGTCTACTCCCTTGCAAAATACTACAGAGTAGATGGGCCTAAATTAATTCAGGCTGGCTGTATGTTGCGCCTCGTTGGGGTTTAGGTCTGTGTAGTTGCACCCTTTTTCTTCTCATCCTAGTCCCCCACTCTCACCCCCTTTCCATCTCTCCCTCTCTTCAACTGGATACACTGGTCATTTGGAGACACCCATCTGTCTCTCTTGGCCTTTGTCATGAATGCCTCTCTGTAACCAATAACCATCTCACTATAGAAGATCATGGTAAAGTGTCACTTGTGGTGATCTGGGCTGGGTTTCCCAAAGCACCCAAAGTGGTGTGAGCCTGGGTTGTCGAGAGAAATAACATAGGCTACTTTAGCAATGAAGGCTTTAGGAAAACCAGCCCTGGGCTCTCTCACTTGTCATTAAAGTGGATGATGGGCATGCATTTTGATGTGAAAGTCATAGCTTGTTGTGACCTGAAAAAACTTGCTTCAGTTCAAAACATTGAGACCGACGTTTGTCCTGCTTTCTCTCCCTGTTATCTTGCACTGGCGCCGTATCTTTCGTCCTGTTCTCTCTCCTCTCACAGCGCTTGAGAGGATATGCATAGAAGAATGGGAGAAACTCTGCAAATACAGGTTTGCAAAGCTTGTAGTGTCATACCCAAGAAGACTCTACTGTAATCGCTGCCAAACGTGCTTCAACGAACTGAGTAAAGGGTCTGAATGTAAATGTGATATAGTTTTTTATTTTTAATAAATGTGCAAAAATGTCTAAACCGGTTTTTGCTTTGTGTGTGTGTAGATTGATGAGGGGGAAAAAACAATTTTATCAATTTTTGAATGTCTGTAACGTAACAAAATGTGGAAAAAGTCAAGGGGTCTGAATACTTTACAAATGCACTGTAGGTATCCCAGGTACACTGTGTGCTCCCAGTCCCCGGGTACCAGCTCTAAAAGCTACCCTATTGGTTCAGTTTTTTAGGGACAATAATTGTATGAGGTGGATATAAACTTGTATCTACTGTAGGGCTTCACAATTAATCGAATTCACATCGAAATTGCAATGTTGACATGTGCAATATCCATATCGCAAGCGATCCATATCTGTAATGTCAATTTTTTTTATGGAAGCCCATTCCCGCCACTTAAAAAAAAAAAACATTATGCCGATACTATTTAAACATTTCAGGAGGCTAAGTCGAAATTTCGAGATGGTAGAGCATACTTATAGGATATGTTTCTTCATTTGTAACATTGTGTTAATTTAGAGGTGGCACCACGGGTCCAAGAGTGGTGGAGAATTTCAATACAGACTGACCAAGTGTTTCTCAAACCTCTCCTAGGGGACCCCCAGCCGGTTCATGTATTTTATCTATTCCAGAACTAGCACACCTGATTCAACTGGTCAACTAACCCTTGATTAGGTGAATCGGGTGAACTCGTTCAGGGCTAAAACAAAATTGTGAAATGTCTGTAGGTCCCTATGAGAGGTTTGAGAACCACTGGGCTAACCTAACCAGGTAAAACTCCAGACCCTAATTTGGATGGTATGACAGTAAAGTTTTACAGCTAAATTATGTTTTATGAGCTATGATGGGACCAGATTATTTTCTAATCAGGTCATATGGTTTAAACAAACAAAATGGACAACTGCGATTGGACAATAGAACTAACAGGGCTGAGCTTGCTTTATGCAGGGTTGCATCATGTAGGCCTTTGCATCTGTAATTAAAAAGTTACTCACACAGTATGTCATCACTATTGTTGTGTTGATTGATTAATTCCAGTCAATAATTTGATTGCTAAGGTCTAGGTAGCCTAGCCACCTGAAGTTTGAATATAAACCAAATTTGATCCTTTTCTTTTAACACAAAATAAATAGGCATATTTGCCTATATCGTGCAGTTCTAACTTACTATGTGTTTCCTTTGACTCTTTTTAGAAGGGCTGCTAGACTTGGGTTGGTATTATGCTGGTTCAATATGTATATTCTGCTTCTACTTATATTTGGATAAAAGTGAACTAAACTGCACATTTCCCTAAAAAGCTAATGAAGCAACTGTCAGGACTGTCAAGTCAAAGCACATCCTGCAAATAGAAAAACGGTACCAATGTTTGTTTTTGTTTCCTCTCTGCAGATCTGTGTCCTCCTCTTCACCTGCCTCTACATTCTGTCCTACCTCATCCTCACTCACTTCAAGAAGAATGCGGACTATGTCACGGGTGAGTATGGATATGTTTGCCTAGTCCCCCCCCCCCCCCCCCCCCCCCCCCCCCCCCCAAAAAAAAGGAACTCAGTCCGGCTTTCAACTTACTCTTGAAAGTTGCAATAGTAGAATGCATAAGGTGCTATTTCGAAATTGGATAGTGCATCATCAGTTTTCCTCTTGTCATGTCAGTCATTGCATACTTTAGAGAGCTATTTATAACTTGTGAGAAATGTCTAGATAAATTAGCCATGTCAGCTAATGTTTTTTAGCCCCTAGATTTTGTAGTAATGTTTGTCACTCAAATTTCACATTAGACATGTTTATAGAATTGCAAACAAATTAGCTTTAACACTACAAAAATAATTCTGCACCCCATGACAAAATGTGTAGAATTGCAGAAAATAAGCTTTACACCAGCAACATTTTCTCTCTGCCTACAAGATGGGTGTGAACAGTTTGTCATGAACAGTGCTTGTGCCATAGAAATAAACGTGTGGGGGGGCAAGATGTTCCCCAGTGCTGGAAGGGGGGCCTGAGTGAAAAAGTTTGGAACTCCTGGTATAGCCCATCGCCTGCCCTATGCTATAACAAATGCAAAACAAAGGAGTTTTTCAAGTTGCTGTCAATTTGAGGATTTACAGTACTGTGCTTCCTGCCACTAAAGTTAAATGTACAGTATGTGCGGCTCTCAAGTGAACCAAATCAGTGACGACATCCAACACCTTATATCCTATTTAGGGCTGTTGCGGTGACCGTATTACCGCCACCCCGGCGGTCACGAGTCATGAAGGCAGTCAAATTCAACGTAACCGTTTAGTCACGGTAATTGGGCTTCTCCAAGCTCTGATGCTGCTGATGGTCATTAGTATTCTACCAAACTTGCTAACTGCCTGGTACTCAGCACTCTATTGTCCCTCTATTCACTCTGACATCAATGCAAATGTAATCAAAAATTTAATCAAACACTTCATGAGAGCCCATGAGCTCATGTTGCGCAACATTTCTATAGGCTATGCAATTGCGTGAGAAAACAGAGTGATGGTCTCTATTAAAAAGAGCAGGATCCCATCAGCTTTCTATAGGCCTACAATTTATTTCTCAACTTTCCTAATATTAAGCACATTGCTTATCTTTACAACAGGAGTATAGCCTACCTGGCTGGCATGAAAATGAACCGCGGGAAAAGCGTCCTCCATTCGTTATTTTAAGTGTATAGATGACATGTATTTTTTTCCCCTGCCCCTATTTTGAGACGGTGCATGATAATGGTTCATTCTAAATCAATATATATAGTACCAGTCAAAAGTTTGGACACTCCTACTCATTCCAGGGTTTTTCTTTATTTTTACTATTTTCTACATTGTAGAATAATAGTGAAGACATCAAAACGATGAAATAACACATGGAATCATGTAGTAACCAAAAAAGTGTTAAACAAATCAAAATATATTTTATATTTGAGATTCTTCGAAGTAGCCACCCTTTGCCTTGATGACAGCTTTGCACACTCTTGGCATTCTCTCAACCAGCTTTATGAGGTAGTCACCTGAAATGCATTTCAATTAACAGGTGTGCCTTGTTAAAAATAAATTTTTGCTATTTCTTTCCTTAATGCGTTTGAGCCAATCAGTTGTGTTGTGACAAGGTAGGGGTGGTATACAGAAGATAGCCATATTTGGTAAAATCCAAAGTCCATATTATGTCAAGAACAGCTCAAATAAGCAAAGAGAACCACAGTCCATCATTACTTTAACACATGAAGGTCAGTCAATCCGGAAAATTTCAAGAACACATAGGCCTATATGTTTTGATAAGGTTTGGATCACAACTAAAGTGGCCAAATAACTTCTTAAAATTAAGCACATTTAATCCGCTTTACAAGTGGTGTAGAGCCTAACTGGCATACAGAAGCAGCGCATGAGTTTCAAGTTTGGGGAAGATCATTTCCACCATAAAAATGCACCTTTTATAATAAAAGCATTACATGCGTAATCGCATTTGTAGTCACTTTTTATAATGGTGTTTTCCCGCTAATAGAACATTTGCGCATAAAGCCTACTGCTGTGTGCGCGTTGCTGGGCTTATAATGTGAAGAAATAGCCTAATAGTTTATCAACATTTTAAGCTAAACGTTCTGATATGTTGAGTCAGCTTCATTGCGTAAAAATGTTTTTTTTATGCTAGTGGTTGTATTAATTTGGGATCTATCGCATACCACAACTGTCTCAGACTATGTTTTGGAGTATTTATTTATCGCACAGAATAGAATAGGTCAACTTTTGTACTATGGGGGATAGTAGATTGAGATAGGCTAGTGCTTTTGCTGTTTGTTAGGCCTACTCATCTTGTTGGCTGACGAAAAGTAAATGTGGACATTTCTTCCAATATATTCAATATGCACCTCGGAATTCGATAAGAACGCGCGCAGTTGCGTCCCCCGACGTGTCTGTCTTCATTTGTAGCCTGTGAGAAAGACCCGATCACGTGAGCCATGTGAGTGAGAGGTGCTTCGGAGAAGGGCACAACGCAGCACTCTGGGCCAAGGGCACAACGGCCACTGGCCGCAAAAGGCATGGATTTTTGTAGGGTGCATTACGGCTACACAAAGGGGATGCCGCCGGGAGGCATTAGCAAGTGCTTGTCAAATTGTGAATGAGAGACTGATGAAGTGTGCAGTCTGCGCAAAAAAATCAACAAAGCAGAGCTCATGCTTTTCATGCAACTTTTTTCAAATCATCATTAGTCGCATCATGCAGCATTACAATGTAATAAAAATCAAAACATATAGCCCAATGTTTGTAGAACAACTAAAGATGCATGAATAACTCTAAATTAAGCATATAGGAATACCTAGTTCTTTGTTAACCACTCAACACAGAATAGTCGCATGTGCGCACTCCCTCAAATCGTTTGGAGAAAATATCCTTTCTATTTTATTCAGCTTTGTTCAATTGTATTCTTCATACTATAAAATAATGCCACGGAATTCTAAGCAAATCTTGTCTGCTAAATAAACTAGTGTAGCCCACAGCCATTTGTCATAGCCAGATCAGGACCTAACATAAGGACAACTCAGAGTATGCGATTCTGTTCTTCTGAAATAGACTACATTTTCTTCATGTTTCTTTAGACCGGTCTTAAATAAATAATGGATTTATTGTGAAGGTGTAGGCTATATTACATGGATTTATTAGACTTTTTTAAATGTAGATGTTCCAAAGATCTGCATCAGTGGCTTCTAGGCTATGTGTGGAAGCCAGGAGATGCTAAATGTGTTTGTTAATTAACGGTCAATTACCGTGAGACCGACAGTTATTTGCTTGACAATCACCAGCTGACAATTTTGTGACCGCCACAGCCCTAATCCTATTCACTTGAATTGAAAGCCTTGTGTTGAAGTGTGGCTGTGCAAATGCAATTGGTTATGTACCTTATGTAATCATTCCAGTAAAGGCTGGTTATTGAAAACCGCTGAAGCACATCCGCTCCAACATAACAAGCCTGGCCTGTAGCTGTATCGCTCTGGCTCTGCAGAAGTTTGGCTATTTGGAGGTGGGCCAGTCCACTGAGCCTAGCCAGCCAGTGTATTTATTGGGTTTTGGAAAGAGTCGGCTTAACCTGCTCTGCATTAGGAGTACAGTGTTGTTTCCAATGAATGTCCTCAGCAGTCAGTCAACACCACCAGCAGAACATTTGTGCCTCGCAGCTTAATTTGAATGGTGTAGTGTTGAAGATGTGTTCTGTGAATCGATTGGGATGCTGCGAACTGGTTTCTCTTGCTCCGTGCATGTTTTTTCACTTCTTTTTCCACACGCTTCAGTTCCTCCTACTGACCTATACAGAATCTTGTTCTTTGTGTCTTGAACATGGTGTATTCTGCATATCTCTATTTTTGAGGCCAACTACTTATTTTCCCCCCTGTCCGTGTCGATCGGTGCTACCTTAGTTTCTCACCAATATCTCGCACTGTTTTTCTAAGTATATCCCTCCTCCAAACACTCTAGGTAACATCCATTGCCCCGACACCATTTCAACTCTTATCTGTCTGGGTAAAGGGGTTGGAGGCTTCTGTTGTCAAGGTTTCCCCTCAGTTGTCAAGATGCTCACATTCCTTTAGTCATTACTAGCTTGCCTCACTTGCCTGTTGGTATAGCTGTGAAGCACTCACTTGTATGTTTTCCACCATTTTCCAGATGACATTGAAGATGCAACCGCCAACAAAATTGCGTAAGTAAAGAGCCGTAATGATTAACTGACCTAGCAGCAGTCTGCACGTTGACTCACTCAGTCTGTGATTAGAGTGTCTGTGTGTGGGCAGAGTATTTGAGCTAGTATCTGAGTCGATGTGGCATAACGAGATGACACAGCCTGGCCACTTGGCCTGTGTAACTGTCCTCCTTGCCCTTTGTCCTTTCGCTGATATTCCCTTCCTCCCTCCCCACCCAGAGCAACTAGCATCCAAAACACACACACACTCATATATACAGTGGGGAGAACAAGTATTTGATACACTGCCGATTTTGCAGGTTTTCCTACTTACAAAGCATGTAGAGGTCTGTAATTTTTTATCATAGGTACACTTCAACTGTGAGAGACGGAATCTAAAACAAAAATCCAGAAAATCACATTGTATGATTTTTAAGTAATTAATTTGCATTTTATTGCATGACATAAGTATTTGATACATCAGAAAAGCAGAACTTAATATTTGGTACAGAAACCTTTGTTTGCAATTACAGAGATCATACGTTTCCTGTAGGTCTTGACCAGGTTTGCACACACTGCAGCAGGGATTTTGGCCCACTCCTCCATACAGACCTTCTCCAGATCCTTCAGGTTTTGGGGCTGTCGCTGGGCAATACGGACTTTCAGCTCCCTCCAAAGATTTTCTATTGGGTTCAGGTCTGGAGACTGGCTAGGCCACTCCAGGACCTTGAGATGCTTCTTACGGAGCCACTCCTTAGTTGCCCTGGCTGTGTGTTTCGGGTCATTGTCATGCTGGAAGACCCAGCCACGACCCATCTTCATTGCTCTTACTGAGGGAAGGAGGTTGTTGGACAAGATCTCGCGATACATGGCCCCATCCATCCTCCCCTCAATACGGTGCAGTCGTCCTGTCCCCTTTTGCAGAAAAGCATCCCCAAAGAATGATGTTTCCACCTCCATGCTTCACGGTTGGGATGGTGTTCTTGGGGTTGTACTCATCCTTCTTCCTCCAAACACGGCGAGTGGAGTTTAGACCAAAAAGCTCTATTTTTGTCTCATCAGACCACATGACCTTCTCCCATTCCTCCTCTGGATAATCCAGATGGTCATTGGCAAACTTCAGACGGGCCTGGACAGGCGCTGGCTTGAGCAGGGGGACCTTGCGTGTGCTGCAGGATTTTAATGGTTTTCTTTGAGACTGTGGTCCCAGCTCTCTTCAGGTCATTGACCAGGTCCTGCCGTGTAGTTCTGGGCTGATCCCTCACCTTCCTCATGATCATTGATGCCCCACGAGGTGAGATCTTGCATGGAGCCCCAGACCGAGGGTGATTGACCGTCATCTTGAACTTCTTCCATTTTCTAATAATTGCGCCAACTGTTCTTGCCTTCTCACCAAGCTGCTTGCCTATTGTCCTGTAGCCCATCCCAGCCTTGTGCAGGTCTACAATTTTATCCCTGATGTCCTTACACAGCTCTCTGGTCTTGGCCATTGTGGAGAGGTTGGAGTCTGTTTGATTGAGTGTGTGGACAGGTGTCTTTTATACAGGTAACGAGTTCAAACAGGTGCAGTTAATACAGGTAATGAGTGGAGAACAGGAGGGCTTCTTAAAGAAAAACTAACAGGTCTGTGAGAGCTGGAATTCTTACTGGTTGGTAGGTGATCAAATACTTATGTCATGCAATAAAATGCAAATTAATTACTTAAAAATCATACAATGTGATTTTCTGGATTTTTGTTTTAGATTCCGTTTCACACAGTTGAAGTGTACCTATGATAAACATTACAGACCTCTACATGCTTTGTAAGTAGGAAAACCTGCAAAATCGGCAGTGTATCAAATACTTGTTCTCCCCACTGTGTGTGTGTGTGTGTGTGTGTGTGTGTGTGTGTGTGTGTGTGTGTGTGTGTGTATGTATATATATATACACGATACAATACTGTATTGTCCAAATGACATAAAAATACAACGTACATTTAATCAATACGACAGACACCCTCGTTACAGCACACAAATGTCTCACTCACTTTTCTCTCTTCCTCTCTAGGCTATGGCTGTGTACGTTCACCCTCTCTGTGGCAGTGTGTGCTGTGCTGCTGCTTCCCATCTCCATCCTGTCCAACGAGGTGCTGCTCATCTTCCCTCACAGCTACTACATGCAGTGGCTCAACGGATCGCTCATTCACGGTACTGAGCCATGTTTACACCAAAACAACACCCAATACTGCTCCACGTTTTTAATAATAATATGCCATTTAGCAGACGCTTTTATCCAAAGCGACTTACAGTCATGCGTGCATACATTATTATTTTTTTGTATATGGGTGGTCCCGGGGATCGAACCCACTACCTTGGCGTTACAAGCGCCGTGCTCTACCAGCTGAGCTACAGAGGACCACAATCCATAGTAGTTAATTCACTCAGTCAGACCTCCCATAGCCCCAAACATGAACACCATTCTGTTTTAAAACTGCATTTGAATGTCAAGTATTGATAGTCAATGAGCTCCAAAACAAAATGAATGACTCATAATTATGGTTTTGTGAATCTAGCACAGTTGCCTGTTATGTAATAATATTCCATGTTGTGGTGAGTCTTAGAGCTCTTTCACAGAAATTAAACATGAGCTCCACAAACTAGCAGTCAAAGGGAAGTGGGCCCCAAATATTAAATCTCACGGAACATTCATAGGGAGCACTGTCAACTCTAGTCCCTCTAGCTTATTTCCAGAAAGCTCTACAGATGTTAGTGTACTGTATGCCCCCCAAAAAGTTTTGCGCTTCACGGCAAGGCTGCACCTCACTGTGGTGGTTGTCTGTTGATAGATATATATCCATTTTATGATATTACCTAACTTTGTAATGAAATGTTTTGACTATCTTTCTCTCTTCTTTCTCTTCACCAGGCTTATGGAACCTAGTGTTCCTGTTCTCCAACCTGTCCCTGGTCTTCCTCATGCCCTTCGCCTACTTCTTCACCGAGTCGGAGGGCTTTGTGGGCTGTAAGAAGGGGGTGATGGCGCGGGTGTATGAGACGGCGGTGGTGCTGCTGCTGCTAACTCTGCTGGTGCTGGGCATGGTGTGGGTGTTTGTGGCCCTGCTTAACAACCACACCGCCAGGGAGAGCCTCTACGGTGAGTTGATCTTTGACTTTGCTATTCATTCAAGCCATTTTGCAACTGTTCGCAAAGGCAATGGCTAAGTATTTTGAAGAATTGAATTGGTGTCCTTTATTTTTTGAGAACCAGGTATCAAAGTCCTTTTCTTATGACCTGTTGTCTCTCCCATCTCAGACATGTGGGAGTACTACCTTCCTTACCTCTACTCTGCCATCTCTATGTGTGGAGTGCTGCTGCTCCTACGTGAGTACACCTCTACTATGTCTCGTCCATCTGCCTCACTGGCTGCTTAACTTGTGATGGGTTGGTCATGGCCAGATATTAATGTGTATGAATCCTGCCTGACACCTCTTCCCGTCTCTTTGCAGTGTGCACTCCCTTCGGGCTTTCTCGCATGTTCAGTGTCACCGGGAGCCTACTGGTCAAACCACGGGTGAATGACAATCCACCAACTTTTTCTCCCATATACAGACAATAACCCAACACTATAACAATAACATTGTTATATCATTGACAATCATTGACAATAACGTAGCATTGTTATAACATTGACAATAACATAACACCAATGACTCAATGACAGCCACCCCCTGTGTTTCCTCAGCTGTTGGAGAATGTGGAGGTGGTTATGAACTGTGCTGCGTTCGAGGAGGCTTCACTCTCCAGGACACTCAACAGTGAGTGGGCCAGCGACAGTGGGCTAGAATAGTCTATCAACATAGAACAATTTAATGTATTTCTATTTCATTCTGACGCTTACACTGACTGTACCACACATCCATGAATCATCCTAGAGGTGGTGTTTGTGTTGACCTTGCTCTGTTCCTTGTAGGGGGTAGCACGGCATGCTGGATCAGTGTGAACGTGGAGCCTTTGAGGACGCAGTTCCTCAGTGTCCAGGCCGAACGAATGGCCCTCGGTAAGACCATCGAGATGTCTATAATAATACGGTGTTTTATTACATTCTCTAGGTATTAACTGACTTACTAGGGTTAGATCATTCATTGGAAGATTATAAAAGGCCTTCTTTCAGGCATTAGAAAACATTCCAGGAATAGCTTGACTGCTACAGTCCCCTGTAGCTCAGTTGGTAGAGCATGGTGCTTGCAACGCCAGGGTTGTGGGTTCGTTTCCATTGGGGGGCCAGTATGAAAATGTATGCACTCACTAACTGTAAGTCGCTCTGGATAAGAGCGTCTGCTAAATGACTAAAAATGTCAAATGTAAATGAGATGGACAGCATTGTGGTCCTCCTCCTCATCTCGCTCTCTCTTTCCCTACCCCAGAGATGCGTAGGAGAGCGTCACCATGGCAGCGGAACCTGTTCTACCCTCTGGCCATGCTCCTGCTCCTAGCTCTAACGGTGGTGTGTGTGTTGGTGGTGTGTTTCCATGTTCTGGAGCTCCTCTTCGACGAGACGGCCATGCCTAGTGAAATGGGGGTGAGGACTCTACTAAGGGGAATAAGGGACTGCGTGAGCTGGAAGGGGCTTTGTATGGACTATTCGCTTTTATAGCATCTGTTCTAGACAGCCTGCTGTTGATCTTATAGCATGTAGGGTGTTTACCCACTCTGCCCAACGTGGGTGAAAACACGCTTTGGTGATAACATTTCCCCTTCATTGTGTTTTTAAAATACATTTTACCAAGATAAATATGATCATGTTCAGTGGGGTCTTTCTTTAGCAATACATTAACATTATATATATAAAAAAGTCGGATTTTCTAATTTAGTACATCCGATAATAAGCACCGAGCTCTGTTAACAGAGCTGTGCAGCCTTCTCGCCAAAACCTTTGAGGATTTTAAATTGTGGTCGGCGTCTTTCACAGTTGGCCGCAAATAGTTAAATTAGCATGACACGAGCTGAATAAAGGCTTTGAAAATAAAAAATGTGCGGTACACTCAGTGCTCCGTCAACATTTCAGAGATATGCTTGTTTTTGTGAGAAGTCTTCGAAAAAAGAACAGGAACTTCGCATTAATATGAACAGCGTATACTAAAATATGAAGAATACTACATGTCATGTCGCAGAATAGATATCTATCTTTCCTCTATATTGTTTTATGTCCCACCGGATTTGAGAAGAAAGATGACGAGTTCAACGGTGAGCCTGTCAGGTAGCCTTAATTCTCGCACAGCATCCAGCCTAGCTGACGCTATGCCATTTTCCTGGATTAGTTGTTTTTTTACCACTTTTTTCTTTCTTTTTTTCTCTTGCTTAATTTAGACCTTCCTACAAGGGAAAAAACTCCAATAACCTTTGAACGGATTATGATCGAGACATGAGATTTGGACCATTGATTATCTTAGAGGATTATCTACACAATTAACATATTATTTTGCCAATTGGTCAAAATATGTTTTTGATTGGACACCCTATACAGTATGAGTTTACTCCCATCTGCTCAGTATTGATATGTTGAATTCTAACGATGCACATTGACATTGCCTCTGTAAGTTTGCTCCTGAATAGCCTGTTCTGTCCTATATGGAGTGACTGAGGACCATACATTTTATATAGATTTTCAAGACTAAACAATTCCAAGGACATAAACATGTGGAGGAGGGAGGGTAGGAACATTTTTATAGAGGAGAACAGATTTGCAATGACCGTATGTTTCCTCTGCGTGTAGGACCCTCGCCTGGGGACGGCCTCCTTCTCCATGTTTGGTTCTCTGGGAGCAGCAGTGCAGGTGTTCCTTATCCTCTACCTGATGGTGTCGTCTGTTGTGGGCTTCTACAGCTCTCCTCTCTTCACCTCCCTGCTGCCCCGCTCTCAGGACACGAACCTCACGCAGATCATTGGGAACTGCGTGTCTCTTCTGGTCCTCAGCTCCGCACTGCCCGTCTTCTCTCGCACTCTGGGTAAGAGCACTCCCCGTTCCCCAGGTTGAGTTTCTATGTTCTTGTCATATCATATAGTTGAACAAAAAGAGATGCGAAGAGCCCCATAGTGGAGGTGTCATATAACCCATAAAACATAGCAGTCAAACAGGGAAACGGTTGCAGTCATTTCCCCACCATTTCTTTTTCCATAGGGGATTTTAGAAACACTTAAAATAAGGGCTGTGTTTCGTGTAGGCTTACAGTGGCTTGACGTTTTGATAATCATGTAAATCTCTCTAGGACAAGGTGACTGCCGACTGTTATTAGACAGAGCTTCTGTTGTAGTATCATTTCTGAACACAAGAGGGCATGTGTATGCAGTCAATCACTATGAACACTGTTTGACCTTGGCCATGGTCAAGTACTGTACTTCAGAAATGCACCCTTCTTTCCTTCCTCTCTTGAGATCTGAATCAGATGGATTAGTGAAAGTAATATGGCTGTATTGTCAAGTCAGAGGATCTGAGCTTTATTGCTACATGGGGGGGGGGGGGGGGAATGAAGATATGCTGAGCAGTTAAGCAGTTTATAGACAGTCAAATCTCAGTGTCAAACTAATCACATTCTTTCTCTTATCTGTTCTTCAGGGATCACACGGTTTGACTTGCTTGGAGACTTTGGGAGGTATAACTGGCTGGGGAACTTCCACATAGTGTTCCTGTACAACATTCTGTTTGCTGGCCTAACCTCTGCCTGCCTGATCAACACTCTCACCTGGGCCGTGCAGAGAGAACTCATACGCGCCTTCGGTACGTAAAGCAATCAATCAAATGTATTTATAAAGCCCCTTTTTACATCAGGGCTTTACAGGAATATATGTCTGTCTATGAACCTGTTACCTGCCTTTCTATATGTTGGCCTTTTATGTTTAGATTTGAGAATAATAATGCTTTTGTATAACTTCACATCTTCAATTTAAAGGGATTAAAATGAAAAACAACTGTACATGATTTGTCCACCTATCTTGGCTGTAGTCGACTCCCCCAATCAGTTTTTGGATATGTATCTTGCTTACTTAGGTATTTGATAGTCATATTGTGTTACTTTCATTATGCAGTAGAAGGGTTGTGCTAGCTGCCAATAGTCGGTGTGTTTTCAGAGTGACTGTACTGTGAGCTAGCTAGCAAGGTGTTCCCTTCCCAGCTCTGGGCCTGGCCATGTTTCCCAATGGGCTGGTCTCCTTTCCTCAGATAGAAAGGCCTATACAATTCTATCAGGAAAGTGAAAGAGGACAGGAGGGGAGTAGGAGTCCCCTAGGGGCCTGTGGGCCTGGCCGCTGGGCGCCCTCCTGTGCCCCACACACACACACACACACACACACACCCTCTGCCCCTCCGCCCAACACAAACAACAGTTCGGAGCGTAGAGCTGTGGACACACACACACACACACACACCCCTTCCTCACGGCATAGATAGCATCTCTCCTCTCCTGCTCCTTTCCCGCTACCTCCCCAACAGCTTTTGTTCTGTTCTGTGGTTGATGGACTTTCTTTGCTCCCAATCTTGCCTTTTTAATCTTTATTTTTCTCACTCTGTGTTGGAGGTAATCATGCCATTTTGTTCCATTGTTGGTGTTAATTGTAAGTGTTGTATGTGTTTTATGTCTCTACAGGTCTCCACAAACTTCCTCTGACAGTGTCCCGCACAACCATCCCCTTCAAGCTCCTCCTGGCAAATGGCCTGTCAAAGATCCAGTGACTGACATTCCCTTGACCCAATCAACCGTCATCTTTAATCCTGACCGGGACCTGAGCCTCCTGGATAGCATTCCCATTGGACCAAAGGCACCTTGTCTTCAGTCCTCCAGTCAATCTGTGTCTGGATCACCAGAATGAAGAGACCGGAGTGGAGGATTAGAAGTACAGTTTGGACAATAATGCACTAGAACTCTGCTCACTGACCAATACAAGTTGACCTGGGGAACCAACTTAAACTGTCTCGCTTTTTGACTACAGTACTGGGGTTATATTGAAATCACTTTGCAGTAATCTGAGCCAAAAACAATCTATTCTGGAACCGCTAAAAGATTCTAGAACTGAAAAAGGTTCTGGAACTGAAAAAGGGATCTAATCTGTATCCAGGTTCTTGGGACATGGCTAGACGGATCCAACTTTTGTCAGATTTGAGTTTTCGTAGCAGGTTAGGAGAATTCGGTTAAGGTTAGGAGAAGGGTTGGGGTTAGTTAAAATGCAAAATAATGTGCTTTTGACGTTAATTTGACAAAAGCTCGATCCCTTCTAGCCATGACCGGGTTCTTGTTGACCTTGTGACATCATACAGCACATCCTGGATGTCCTAATGCCTTATGAGAAACTCACAATGGGTTCGAGAGGTGGAGGTGGGACCGACTTACTTTGCTCTTTGGACACGCACGTGTAAAAGTCAGCAAAGCTATTTTGGAACATTACGTTGCAACTGACATTTCCTTTTCCTGATCTGGGGTTGAGCGGTTGAGTCCTCTCTCTGCTGCCTCCCCTCTCCCCACGCCTTCCTCTCTCTCATGTAAGACTACTATTTTTGGGCCTCACTCCTGTGAATCCCACTTCCATGTCTTTTTAAGACGCCTTGTCTGTCTGTAATGGTGTTGTGTCCGTTAATGAGAGGAGGATGTTTTTAAACCTGGGTATTCTACATGCCTTGACCTTCACATAGTGGAGGAAGAGAAGGGGACAGGACAGGGTTGTGTTCATTAGGTTACATTTAAAACATTTTACAACTGAAAATGAGCGTTTCAGTTGTTCCATTTGGTGCCTAATGAACACAACCAGGACTTGTTTTAAACTCTTAACGTGGAATTACCCCCCCTAAAGAGGAGCTTCCTAAATGCAAAGTGACACTCACTAGTGTTGTGTGTGTCCTGCCTTGGACCAATCATACTGTGAATTGTTTAAATGTTATGTTAGTTTATATTAACAAAGTGCAATACTGTTTACTCACCACTGCCAGTTCCAATGACATGTTTTTCCTGGTAACTTTTATATTAGAATAATATAAATGAATGATCTCTGTAGCGTTGTTTTTATTTTTAGATCTTGTTTATAGTGATCCTGTGTCATGGTTCTCCTTTGCTGTATCAGCATGTATGTCAAATTGTTTTAATTGTTATTATTAGCTGTTAGACAGTTAGTTCTGTCCAGTTCTGTCGCCAGCAGGGGGCAGGGTCTCACAAACTCACCGGCAGCCTGCTGAAAATTGCCCTGATTCGGTCAGAGAACCTTCTATCCTTAGGGCAATGGTTCTGTTCTCTTTGGTCAGTCATTACGCATAGTTTACTCATTTCATGTCATGTCACTTAACATGTCTTGGAATATATTGTCAGGGGAGCAAACATGTTTTTATGGTTTACTTTAGTGCTCGAAAACGTTTAGATTTTGTAAAATGTATGGGGTTTTTTTTATGAGCCGTGGAGAAAAATGACAAATGTATTACATGTTTCTATACATAAACTGTCTTGTCTGATATGTATGAGTAATAAGACTGTTTACAGTGCAGTTATATCTTTCAATCATCAGGTCTCATTGTCCAGCCCGTCCCAGTTTGTGTCTGTCCATCCTGTGCGAGTGTGTCTGTCTTCTGAGTGTCCTGTGAGTATACGTGTCGGTCCCCTGAGTGTCCTGTGAGTATACGTGTCGGTCCCCTGAGTGTCCTGTGTGTGCGTGTCTGTCCCTCCACCCTTTGTTGCCTTGCTTTAATCAGGCCCAGAAGAAAGCTGTTGTATTTTGGCCCGTCTGTCATCAGAGGCAGTCACTGACGCCGCTATAACCAACGTTTCCTCCACTCGGATGCCACCGCCAGATAAAAAAAAAAAAAAAAAGCCAAATCAAGAGGAGAGGCGACGCTCTCTCGCTTTCTCTCTCGTTCACCTCCATCCACCCACTCCCCTTTCTTCCATCTGTTTTCCTAGCATATTATTCATTTCCTCTTTGAAGGCAGAAAAAGAAATCCCGGTTTTCCTCAGTCTGATTAATTTCTCCTTCTTGATTTTTGTTTGCTTTTCTTGTTTTCTTTTGTTGGATGTTTTAATTGAGTTCCATTTGATTTGTCTTTTGTTTTGTGTTGCCTTTTCCTCCGCTAAAAGGGAGTTTAAGTCTAAATGTTCCCGGAATGCTACTTACTGTACATATCAAAGGCTTGGTTTACCCTGTGGGATGTAGCCACATGCCGCCTAGACATGGCAGTTAATGAATACAGCATTGATTTTGTGTGTGTGTCTGAGAAACAAGTGCATCCACCTGTTCACATTTCATTGACCCACCCCCCACACACACACACACACACACACTTAACCTAACTAATTTAGTGAATGTGCAACCTGGACTAGTGAAATTGTTGCATAGCCATAGGTAATGGCAACTCTGCTAATCACAATAAGGTGTTTGAGTTGCTTTGTTAAGGTTATTAGTTATAGGGAATTGAGAGGATTTGATAGTTAGGTGGGATTTTGTATTACAACAATGTCGTAACTTGGCATAACTGGCAGAGAAGGAAAGCAATGAGATCAGTGATCTCTAAAGAGTGTTCCTGCAAAGAACCTATCACATTCAATGATAATGCCTTTCAATTTATCCATGAACGCTGGACAATTTAGTACTATATAGACTAGATTAAACATTCAACATAGCACAACATTCTGATAATTGCTAGTCTAGAAATGGAAAATCCAACAGAATAAACAATTCTCTATCCTGGAACTTAGAGAACCATTTCCTCTCCATACGTTTGCTATATATACAGTGAGCTCCATAATTCATTGGACAGTGACCATTTTTTTGTTATTTTGGTTCTGTACTCTAGCACTTTGAGTTTGAAAGGATACAATGAGGGTGAAGTGCAGACTGTCAGCTTTAATTTGAGGATATTTTCATACATATCGGATGAACCGTTTAGAAATGACAGCACCTTTTGTACATGGTCCCCCCATTTTAAGGTACTACAAGTATTTGTTAAATTGGCTTCACAGATGTGTGTCGTTAGGCAGGTGTATTCATTTGTGTCGTTAGTGAATGCAGGAGAGCTGTTGATGAATAGTATTGATTCTAGACTTTGCTATTGCCTTTGGAGGTTGTTGTTGGGGTGTGACAACATGAGGAAGACAGCAGTGTCGATGCAAATGAAGCTGGCTGTCATAAGGCTCAGAAATGAAAATCAATCAATCAGGAACATTGAAAAAACCCTGGCCATGTATGGCTGCCAGTGGAACAGGCTCACTTGTCTTCATCGATGATGTGACTGCAGACAGAAGTAGAACAATGAATTCTGAAGTCTACAGAAATATTTTATCTGCTCAGATAAAACCAAATGCCTCCAAACTCATTGGACGGCACTTCATCATGCAACAAGACAATGACCCTAAACATACTGCTAGAGCAACGAAGGGGTTTTTGATGGCCAGAAAGTGGAAAATCCTTGACTGGCCGAGTCAATCACCGGATCTGAATCCAAATTGAACATACATTTTACATGCTGAAGAGGAGACTGAAGGCAATAAGTCCCCGAAACAAGCAGGAACTGAAGATGGCTGCAGTACAGGCCTGGCAGAGCATCACCAGGGAAGATAGCCAGCGTCTGGTGATGTTGATGCATCGCAGACTTCAAGCAGTCATTGCATGCAAAGGATATGCGACCAAATACTAACAATGATTACTTTATTCTACATTATGTTAAACTGTCCAATGTTTTTTGATGCCCGAAAATGGGGGGGACCATGTACAAAAGCTTCTATAATTTCTAAACGGTTCATCCAATATGTATGAAAATACCCTCAAATTAAAGCTGAGTCTGCACTTCACCCTCATTGTCATCAAACTCAAAGTGCTAGAGTACAGAACCAAAATAACAAAAAAATGGTCACTGTCCAATGAATTATGGAGCTCACTGTATATATACACAGTATACAAAACATTAAGAAAACCTTCCTAATATTGAGTTGCATGGACTCTACGTGGTGTCGAATGCATTGCACAGGGATGCTGGCCCATGTTGACTCCAATGATTCCCACAGTTGTGTCAAGTTGGCTGGATGTCCTTTTGGGTGCTGGACCATTCTTGATACCCATGGGAAACTTGAGTGTGAAAAACCCAGCAGCTTTGCAGTTTTTGACACAAACTGGGGCGCCTGGCACCTACTACCATACCTCATTCAAAGGCACTTAAATAATTATATACTCAAATAGGGAAATTATATTTTATACTAATACAATTGCTCAGAGAAAGATTTTGTTTAACAAGTAATAAAAATATCTAAAAATGATGGGGGTCAAAATTATTGGCACCCCTGTTTTCAATACTCTAGCACACTCCTCTTGCGAGGATAATGACACTGAGCCTTTTTCAAAAATGTTTTATGAGATTGGAGAACATGTTGGGAGGGATCTTAGACCATTCCTTCATACATAATATTTTCAGATCCTTGATATGATTTTGTCTGCTCTTATAGAGTGCCCTCTTCAATTCAAACCACAGGTTTTCAATTAATCACTTCTTTGTGGATTTTGATTAGTGCTTGGGGTTATTGTCTTGCTGGAAGATCCACTTGCGGCCAAGTGCCAGCCTCCTATCAGAGGCAAGCAGGTTTTTGGCTAAAATGTCTTGGTACTTGACAAAGTTCATGATGCTGTTGACCTTAACAAGGGCCCCAGGACCAGTGGAAGCAAATAACCACATGACATGAAAATAGAGCTCTTTGGCCACACACACCA